CTTCCAACCGCGTAACCAACTCCTCTAAGTTGTTTAACGCTTATGCTCAATGTTCTAACAGTAAAAAAATTGCCTTTGCTGATGGTTTACTAATTATTGTAGCGGGAATTGAAACCATAAACCTTAATTCCTACCTCACTCTTAGGGATGCTCTCCATGTACATAAACTGTGCAACAGTCCTATATCAGTAACCAAATTATCTCATAACTTTAATTGTAAAATGATGTTTTCTCATTCTCTCTGTGAAATTTAGGACTAGAACTCAAGAAAGATGATTGGATGTGTTAAGGCTTGGGACAGGTTATACTTCCTGTACTTCCTGCATATGCCTAACGTGCCCAACACCGTTTTTTCTACCTGCATATTAAATAAGCTATAGTTTTACAACAAAAGTCTAGGATACCATTTTTTTTCCCCTTAAGGTCGTGTTTCTTTCTTTATTTTCTAATTACAATGTTGAAGCTATACCCTGCGATGTATGTGAATTGACAAAACACCAATGTGTAATCTTTTTTCCTAATAATAAAAACAGTAATTTTCTTTTTTAATTAATTCATTGTAATGTTTGGGATTCCTCTAATATCTCTAATATCTCTGAGACACGGTGGTATGTTTCTTTATTGATGGACTGTTCTCGAATTACTTGGATTCCCTATTCGTTGTGGAGAGAGATCCTTTTCGTTGGTCTATTGATTTTGTGGTTACGGTGTAAAGGTAGAATCTTGTAGCATCTTTACTTTCCTCAGTTTCTTTTAAATAGATTAACCTTCTTGACTTTTTTATAGGTTAAATCACAAAATCATCTTTGTTAATAAAGAACAATGGTGCTATTATTTCTTGGTTTTTGTTTATCATTTGGTGTAGTATTCATCTAATTACTTTTTGGGGTTTTAAGAGGATGTTTATCTTCTTTTCTTGTATTCTTGTTTTTCCCTTTTGCATAATAATATTTATTTATTTTTTTCAAAATTAACTCCTTTTTCTATCCCCAAAAAGATTTAACGTTACTAATGTGTTATTGCTTGGCTGGTTGAGCATAGTAGGGGTCTCATACCCCAGGGACCAGAGCCCTTGAAAGGGGATATACCAATTCTATAATCTACTTTTATGTTATTAATGATGAGAAAACATTGCTCACATGTAACATATTCTATACTTTGTTTGCACAGCAATGGGAAGGCTTAATCGAGTTGTTAGGTTCTGAATCAAAAATCGCTGGAGGACTTGAGTTTTTGCACAAGTAGGAATCCTAGTATATCTGTTTTTCCTCTGTCTATCAAAAGTGAATCAACTGAAAATGATTTTTTTTCAACTTTTAATTGATTTTATTTCTCTATTCCAACCTATGTTGTGCTCCAGGTATAGGGATTTCAAGAAGTCCCTTCAGTATATGCATGATGGAAAAACTACAGATGCTGCACGGCAGGCTGTAGAATCACTTGTATCAGTATGGACTAGCAATTCACATTCTATATTATTGTAGCTGCAAACCTCAAAATACTTTAGCTTAGAGATTTTAAAGGAGTAACTTTATTACGAGCTTGATTACTTTGCACAATTGGGTGGACATAGTAGTCTATTGTCATATAAAGAAGATCTATATATTTGAGTCGTATTCTATCTCCTTGGACCTTCTTTTAATTTAAACTATCGAACTATTCTATTATACATTTTTACTTGTTTTTAATTCAAGATATATCTTCTTTTATATGAAACTGCAGCTCATGAAAAATCCTTCTACACCTCAACGCTTTTGGTCACGACTTCTGTATGATTCGGTGAGCTCTTTTATCAAGAAGTTCAGATTATCTTTTTAGAGAGATGGAGTTTAAAATTTCTCCAGTAAGTTAGCCTGTTGAGCGTAGGCCATTGCTGGCAATTGGCAGGAAGTGGGTGCAGGTCATCCTCTTTTTCCCACGTATTTCTGCTCTGCCACCAAGTAAAATGGTTATCCTTTGACCATACATTCTAGTTGAAGATGATTATCAATGCTCACGGGCCTCTGATTTTTCTAGAACATTATTATAATATTATATGCATTTATTGTAGTAACATCTGTATATGCCTTTTGTCTTAATCTGTTGTGAATGTTCCTATGGCAGTTGAATTTACTTAATTGGAAGGAGCGTCCTTTGCTAAATGTCTCCCAGGCAAATCTTTTGATGAATAAATTACAAGAGTTATCCATGGCAAGATTACGCCCAGACTTCATTGAAGCTGATCTGCCTCCTCAGGGCTTATCATCTGTGAGACTAGCTCTCGCCACTAATCTTGGACGTGCTAACCTAGAGGAATAATTTGAAGCTACCAAGTTCTTTGGCTAGATCCCTTCCCTCTTTTATTCTCTTTTTCCCCCACCTCGTGATTATACTGATATTATTATGGGAAGTTTTTCTGTATAGTTTGTTGTTTTTTTTCGTTTTTAGATCTTTTAAAGTTTTATTTAGATTATGGTTCGACGATGATGTTATATTTTTTTTATGATAATTTGATAATTTTTTTTTTTATATTTTTAATATTTTTTATTATTTACAATATTACTATTCTCTTTAATTTCTTATACTAACACTTATTATATTTTTCTTCTTCTTTTAAAACTATTGTGTATATATATATATATATTTATATTTTTCTTCTTCTTTTAAAACTATTGTGTATATATATATATATATT